GTATTCCAAGCTCTCATATTTGCATGAAAACTACTCCCTTTAGATTGAGTGTCAAGCCTAGACTCTGCTTGCGTATCTGGCACGGCACTTCATCCATTACTTTCCAGTTCAGGGAAATGTTTTACCTGCAAAGGCACAGGTGACAGGCAGAGAAGCACAACACAACATGTATGCAAGACGACGCTCTTGCACTCTAATAAAAGGGGATGCATAAAATTTTTGACAAGCTAAAGCAATGACAGAACAGGCAAACACCAGATAGTGTATACTAGTAGAAAACTACATGTGTCAGTTATATACTATACAGTAATTGTAAACAAGAAGGAGTTCTGAGGAAGGGTCACCGAACATTAATTCTGACTTTTTTTTTTAAAAAACAGATGCTGCCAAACCTGCTGAGCTTTTCCAGCAACTGCTGTTTTTGAACTAAAAGGAGGATCGGTTTGTGATTTAACAACGTAATTGCACAGGAAGCACCAAATTTTACTCCAAGTTTTATCCAATTCCTTTTATTGGTACCCAATGTTTTGCCTGTTTCGAAAGCTAGCCCCATGTCCAATTTCGTGCAAAACAAAAATAGAAACTTCTCAGGGATACTGGACTTGAAATAGGAACAGGAGTACATCGCTCAGGCCCTTGAACCTGCTCCAACATTCAATAGGATCACAGCTGATCAACAATCCTCATCTCCACCTTCCTTAGAGTTATCCCTATGACTCTCAATTCCCCTCAAAAATCTATTTAAACCTTAAATATACACAGTCTCTGCCCACACAACTCTGTTGCAAAGGGTTCCAAAGTGTCAACCCTCACAGCACAAATTCCTCATCTGATTGTTAAATTGGTATCCCTTTGATCCTAGATACTGCCATGATGTGAAACGTCCTGTCAAGCCGCTTAAGAATCCCAAGTTTCAATGAGATCACCTCTCATTCTTCTAAACTCTAGTGAATAGAGTCCAACCTGTTTAGCCTTTGCTCACAAAACAATTCCTCCATACTCAGGGATCATCCTAGTGAACCTTCAGTTTCCCGTGAAAAAATATTCCTTAAATAATTGGACCAAAACTGCTGACAGTACTCCAGCTATGGTCTCACCAGCACCGTGTACCAGTTACAGCAAGACTCCCCTACTCTCATAGTCCAAACACCCTTGAAAGAAGGGCCAACATTCCATTACCCTTCCTATTTATCTGCTGCACCTGTGTGCTCTCTTTCTGTGTTTCATGCACAAGTAACGCAAGTCTCTTGGTGTTGTTGCGTTCTGCAGTTAAATAATACCCTGTTCTTTTGTTCTCCCTTCCAAAATGAACTTCACATTTGCCCACATAATACTTCACTTCTCAAATTAATCTACCAATCTCTCTGTAAACTGTGCCCCTCTCGTAACTTGCCTTACCACTTATTTTTGTGCGATCCGCAAATTTGGCCAGAGTAAGTTTGCTTCTTTCCTTCAAATCATTTTTATATCTTGTAAATATAGTTGCGGTCCCAGCACTAATCCCTGTGGAACCCATTGGTCACAGGTTGCTAACCTGTGAAAGAATCCTTTATCCCCACTAGCTGTTTTCTGCCCATTAACCAATCTCTACCCACACAGATTTTCTACCTCCGACACCACTGGCTCTCATCTTATGACTTAACCTTGAGGGTTACCTTGTTGATCGATTTCTTAAAAGTCCAAATGCAACATATCTACTGGTTTCCCCTTTATCCACTCTGGCTGAGATTTCCTCAAAAAAAAAAAACTCAATTAGTCTGACATAATCATGCAGCCATGCTGACTCTGCTTGATTAATTTTTTTTTTCTGAAATGCACAATTACTTGTGTAATAACTGATTCCAACTTCTTCCAATAGACGCTATGCTAACAGGCCTTCAGTTACCCTTTCATTGCCTCTGTACTTTTTGCACCTTTAAGCAATTATGCGTAAACTTTCCTCAATAAATTTGATTTCCACCATTTGAAGGCCTACACTATACACACAGCAGCAAAATAACTCTGCTTTAAACTATTAAAAAGCCTTTAGCCTACTCAACTGCATCATCCACCTTCAGAGCTAAATTAGCATCTTGGATTTATTCTGCCATTATCCTCCCCACCTTGTATTCTATCCCTACCTTTCTCAAATGTCAGGAAGATTAAGGCCCCTAAAATTCCACTCTCAGAGCCATGTAGATTATTGACCCACAGGCCCAGATAGTGACTCATTTGTGATTCACCCGTTTTGAAAGCAATTACAATCAGAATCAGCTTTATTGTCACGTGCACTCAAAGGAGCACAATGAACGTTTGAAATGTCACAGCTTATGATGCCATCTTAGGTACAAGATACCTAGGTCCAGATACTTAAGTATTTAGTACAAAATTGAAAGAATAATAAATTAAAGCCCACATAAGAATAAAAAGGAAAAAAAAAGCACTTGTATTACAGTCCTTCTCACCCAAGTCCATGTCAGCACTTCGCCTCCAAACCATACTGGGCAAAGTCCCCTGACCACACCAAGCTTCAAAACTTGAGGCGACACCTCCCACCCCGCAACAGCCTCCAATCAGGATCCGTCTTCCCGCGCCGCCCTCCAGTCCAGGAGTCGCACCTCCATTCACCTGAGAAAGTTGTTAGAAGCTTGAAAAGAAAAGAAAAGAAAAAAAAAAGAACAGGCGGTGCACAGAAGCTCCAGCTGAGCATCCTACTCTGTCACCAGCTTGGACTAGAATCAGAGAATCCCCGAGTGAGGGTAGTCTCACATTCACAGATGCCACCTAAACAGCACTCCAGCAGCTTCATGCAAACTCCAACTCAGACAGTTCCATCACCACATGTCAATTAAAGATAGGCAACAAATGCCAGCCATGATAATGAACAGGGAAATACTATTATCTCTAATTGCTGAATCCATCCAAAAGGGTTTTTTCACTTAACATTATTACAAAGAATTTGGAACCAATACAAATTTCCTCTCAGAACATCACTGCATGCATTTATGTACATATGCTCCAAACGCGGCTTCAAATTTGCAACAGTCCATCTATTCCTTCCCATTTCGTAACTCTTTTTAACTTCTGATCTTGTAAGCATCCTTTTTCGTCCTTCTGATATCTCATCCTTACACATTTGCCTATACCAAATTAAACCAAAACCCAAGAGTATTAATTAACCTCCCAGTTAAAAATTTTAGTCTGGCTAGATACTAGAGCAAAATGGTAAAAGTAGTGAAACTGGTAAAAGGAAAACATATGACAAAAATCAAAGAATTTCACAGAGGAAACAAAAATCTTATGTTTCTTTCTACATGTAGTATATTCATGACACCAATTATTATATTACTAATCACAAAATAGTTGATAGGTGGTAATATTCAAATACAACCTGAAATAAAATGTAAAGCTAATTAGTTAAATTCACTGATAATGCCCTCATTTAATTCTTTTAGTTCTGAGTAGAGAAAAAAAAGTGGAGACCAAATACAAGTCATTGAACTACTGTAATCAATTTTTTAAAATTCATCAAGGGATCATTTACAGAATAAGATCAAAATGGATACGTTATTGTTCTTCTCTGCTAACTGTTTATTGTCTCGATAGTTGTCCTCTAATAAGCAACGTCAGGTAACCAACCCTGAAAAAAGTCACATATTAGATTGAGCGGCATAGAACGTCCGAAGATCAATAGGAGGCTGCAACGACAGATATTTAAACATGCTTCACTTATCCAAGTTTACTGTAGACTTCGGGTGAATTGTCGATAACTGGAAAAACTAAACGCGCAAGAAAACCCCTAAGCATTAGAGTACATTCAATGCATTGTACTTTAAAATAAAAAATAGTACAGATGGGAAAGTGAAAATTCATCAACAGCCCACGACAGTATAAACGGCTGGCTTCTTGCAGTGATGTGATCACGCTAAAAGGAGGAAAATGAAAGCTCTTCTAATAAAAATCAGCAGAATCTTATTCATTTATATCAGCATTAAATAATTGGTTTTAAACAAACGAACCGCGGGTGGGGGGATTGAGCGAGATAGGGATTGATGATGAGATTGAAAAATCGGATAGTCTAGTCTTCGATCGCCAAACATGGGTAAGATTGTCTAAATCATTCTCTTGAACAGGACGAGCGTAAAAGAGAGATAACAAGGTGTAGAGCTGGATGAGCACAGCAGGCCAAGCAGCATCAGAGGAGCAGGAAGGCTGACGTTTCGGGCCTAGACCCTTCTTCAGAAAATGGGCAGTATTGCAATAAGGGAAGGGGTGAGGGAATTTAAATTGAGAGCTGAAGTAAGCCCAGGTTTGAACGGGGTAACTTCTAAATCACTTTCTCCTTCCGACAAACCACAGGGAAGGCGCAAGAGGCCGTTCGCTCACGTTCGTCCGGTTCTTTCAAAAGAAATTCAAACTTAACAGCGAAAAGCGCAGCGTCATTACCGCCGGCAGCAGCAGCCTGTTATTGGTGGCCCGTCTGTCTTTCTCTTACCTAGATCCTGAGGAGAGATCACTGCATGTAGATTCCCGACCAAGGTGCATGCCGCCATCGTTTAGCCTAAAACTATCTCTGCCTTTTTCTTCCATTTCCATCACCCGCCCCTTAATCAAGCCAGGCCCAAAACCCCCCTCCATCCGTTCGAGTCGACACAGCGGCCGCCTCACACCGCATTGTCATGTGCGTAGCGCACCCAATAAACCAGCCTGCACGACTCTCATTCCGGACCCTCCCCCGCTTCGCCGCCATTTCAGATCCTGACCATCAGAACACTTCGGCGAATTATTGAAAAGAACGGGGGGAAAACATACACTTACCCCCAAAGCGCCCCAAACTCCGGCTGATCGCAGTATGGCGACCAACGGCACCAGGCCCCTCCCAGCCCCTGCGTTGGGGGGAGGGGAAGTAGGTGGAACCACAGGGGCCGCTGAGGTAGGACGCATGCTCGTGGCGGGATGCCGCGCACTGCACCACGGTATCTGTAGTCCTGTCAAAACCTCAGAGTTGAGAGTGGGTGAGTGAGGGAACTACGATATCTATAGTGCAATGCAAGTGCACGTATGTGGGAGCGTTTGTAAGTGGGGTAGATTTGGACGGTATAAGTGTTAAGTTGGCAGTAGGCTTGATTTTAATCTTTTACGTTTAAGAAGTAAATATTCGTAGTCATGTAGAGTCAATCTTGTTTTTAGCTTTTTTTTCCTAATCGAGCCCTTTGAATTTCACCTTGCCTAACAATTCATAACCTAGTAAATACAAACTGGGGATAGTTACAGGCCTGTATGGCATAGCAGCTAAATATTTGATGCCTTTGTATATATTGTGGAGGACATCTTAATCTTAAATTTCAGTTATCTTTTTATTTTCACTTGGTTAAAGAATCTGTTCCGAGTAATTTTCATCAATTTCAATCGAATACCCTTAAAAACAAATGAAAGCTGTTCCGTTCTATGTACTTAAATTCAGAGCTGCTCATCCTGGTAACCCGGTGAACGTCCAAGTTGTGTATGTAAGATTTGAGGATTCTTGAAAAGTCCCTCAGTCCAATCCTCTCCAAAAAATGCCCTCAGTGATTTCAATTTCAATTTCAATTTCAATGAAGTCTATTATGTTTCAATAGCAAACTGCTGCTTGAATCATACAGAAATGGCAAGTCGCTAATTTTGAATGTGGTTTTTATTACATTAATATATATGTCTGGATTTCAGTTGTGGAATGGGAATGGCCTTGTTTGAATAACTTGCTATCATGGGCTGAAGAATAAGCAAGATGTAGAAGAATAATGGGCATCTGTAACTCAGTAGAAGTCAACTTATTTAGGAGAGGTAGGAAGAAAATCGTACAGGAAACAGTTTAAAAAATTAAATGTATTATGTTGCTGTAATGTCAAATAAGTATTTATGAATGATAAATAATGTCAGTGCAGTTTTGGTCCATATGAAAACCTTTGCCACTGGGTTGAATGGTTATATCTGCCAAAAAATACTAAAATGGGACAATAAAGTCTTCAATATGAAAAGATTGAAATTTATATAGAGCCTTTCTTAAACCTCGGAATGACTGAAGTCTTCCTGATAATGAAGTTAACGTCCCAAAGTGCTTCGACAAGTGTTATCAAGTAAACATGTTTCAGTGAAGCAAACAAGAAGAAGAAGAAAATATTTGGGCAGGTGACCAAAGGTTTCTTCCAAAGAACGAGGTCTTGAGGGATATCTTAAAGGAGGAGAAAGAGGTATTATTGAGGTTATTTCAATAGTTCAGGGCTTAAGGAGCTGAACACATAGAGTAACAGAGTAATACAGTACAGAAGCAGACCTTTCAGTCCAACTTGTCCATGCCGACTAGCTACCTTAAATTAATCTAGTCCCATTTGGCCTATATCCCTCTTAAACAACACCTATTCATATACCCATCCAGATGCCTTTTAAATGTTGCAATTGCAACAGCTTCCACCACCTCCTCTGGCAGCTTGTTCCATACATACACCATGGTCTGTGTGAAAAAAGTGCCCTTTAGGTCCTTTTTAAATCTTTGCCTTCTCATCTTAAAGCTATGCCCTCTAGTTTTGGACTCCCCCCACCTTGGAAAAAGGTCTTTGCTATTCACTCTATCCATGCCCCTCTATAAGATCACCCTCAGCCTCTGAAGCTTCAGGGAAAGTAGCCCCAGCCTATTCAGCCTCTCCCTATAGCTCAAGCCCTCCAACCCTGGCAACATCCTTGTAAACGCTTTCAAGTTTCATCACATCTTCCCTATAGCAGGGAGACCAGAATTACATGCAGTATTCTAAAGTGGCCTAAGCAATGTCCTGAATAGCCGCAACATGACATCCCAATTTCTATACTGAATGTACTGACCTGTAAAGGCAAGCATACCAAAAACTTCCTTCACTACCTCCTTTAGCTGTGATTCCACTTTCAAGAACTATGAAAGTGCAGCCCAAGGTCCCTTTGTTCGGCAAAACCCCCCAGGACTCTACCGTTAAGTGTATAAGTCCTGCCCTGATTTTCAATTCCGAAACGCAGTACCTCACATTTATCTAAATTAAACTGCATATGCCACTCCTCCACCCATTTGATCAAGGTCCTGTTGTACTCTGCGATAGCCTTTTTCACTGTCAACGATACCACAAATTTTGGTGTCATCTGCAAACTTAATAACCATACTTCTTATGCTCACATGCAAATCATTTATATAAATGACAAAAGCAGTGGACCCAGCATCGATCGTTGCGGCATGTCGCTGATCACAGGCCTCCAGTCTAAAAACCAACCCTCCACCACCACCACCCTCTAGCTCCAACCTTTGAGCCAATTTCGTATCCAAATGGCTAGCTCTCCCTGAATTCCATGTGGTCTAACCTTGCTAACCAGCCTACCATGTGAAACCTTGTTGAACATATTGCTGAAGTCTATATAGACAATGTCCATTGCTCTATGTTCATCAATCTTCTTTGTCACTTTGAAAAACTAATTAGTGAGACACAATTTCCCACGCACAAAGCTATGTTGTCTATTCCTAATCATGTGTTGCCTTTCCAAATACATGTAAATCCTGTGTCTTAAAATCCCCTCCAACAACCTACCCACCTTTGATGTCAGGCTTACTGGCCTACAATTCCCTGGCTTTTCCTTACCACTTTTCTTAAATAATGACGCCACATTAGGCACCCTCCAGTCTTCCAGCACCTTAGCCATGGCTGTTCATGACACAGATATCTCAGCAAGGAGCCAGCAGTCGCTTGCCTGGCTTCCCACAAAGTTCTGGGATACATCTGATGAGGTCCTGGGGAGTTATTCACCTTTTACGCATTTTAAGACATCCAATGTTTCCTCCTCTGTAATACAGACACTTTTCAAGATATCACTATCTATTTCCCTAACTTCTCTATCTTCCATATCCTACTCCACAGTAAATACTAGGGCAAAATAGTCCCTCTTCCGTTGTGACACTAATAGAACAGTCCTTCTTCCACTGTTACACTGGCACTATACCCCACCTCTTCCTCCACTACATTGATGACTGTATCGGTGCTGCCTAATGCTCCCATGAGGAGCTTGAACAGTTCATTAACTTTACCAACACCTTTCACCCCAACCTCAAATAAACCTGGATCATCTCCGATACCTGCTTCCCCTTCTTGGACCTCTCCACCTCCAACTCTGGTAACCACCTCAGCATCGACATCTGTTTCAAACCCACCGGCTCTCATAGCTACCCTGACTACACCTTCTCTCACCCACCCTCCTGCAAGAATGCAATCCCTTACTCCCAATTCTTCCATTTCTGCCGCATCAGCTCCCAAGATGGAGCATTGTACTCCCAGATATCGCAGATGTCCTCATACTTCAATGTCTGCAACTTCCCGCCTCTGTTGATCCAAAATGCCCTCAACTGCATCTCTTGCATTTTCCGCACTTCTGCCCTGAAACACCCTAACCCCAACAAAAATAAGGACAAAGTACCCCTGGTCCTCACATACCACCCTACCAACCTCGGCATCCAGCACATCATCTTCTGCCACTTCCACCACCTGTAATCCGACCACACCACCAAAGCGATATTTCCCTCCCCACCCTTATCTGTCTTTCATAGGGACCGCTCACTCTGCGACACCCTCGTCCGCTCCACACTCCCCGCCAACCTCACCACACCCGCCACCTTTCCCTGCAACCGCAGGAGGTGTTACACTCACACCTATGCCTCCCCTCTCACCTCCATCCAAGGCCCAAAACAAACTTTCCCTATCCAACAGGGGTTCACCAGTACATCCTCCAACCTGGTCTACTGTATCCATTGCTCCCAATGTGGCCTCCTCTGTATCAGTGAGACCAAACGCAGACTCGGTGACTGATTCGCGGAGGATCTGCACTCTTTACATTATAACCAACAACACCTTCCGGTTGCTAACCATTTTATAATGCCCTCTCCCACTCCCTTGGTGACATGTCCACCTGGGCCTCTTCCAGTTCCACAATGATGCCACACACAAACTGGAGGAGCAAAAACACCTCATATTCCTCCTCGGGAGCCGACAGCCCGAAGGCCTGAATGTAGAATTCACCACTTTCAAAATCTCCCCACCCCCAGCCATATCCCATGTCCAACCCTCCCTCTCATCTCCGCCTTCTTGAACTGATACAACCGGTCCAGCTTCTTTTCCACCTAGTCGCCCCAACCTTCCAACTGACAATTCCAACTTTTAGATCAGGTCTATCCTTTTCCAAAACTATTTTAAAACTAATAGAATTATGATCACTGGCCACAATGTGTTCCCGCACTGACACCTCAGTCACTTGCCCTGCCAGGTTTTGCTGCTTCTCCAGTAGGTACCTCCACATACTGAATCAGAAAATTTTCTTGTACACACTTAAATTCCTCTCCAACCAAGCCCTTAACACAACGGCACTCCCAATCAATGGAAAGTTAAAATCCCATTTCATTACAACTCTGTTATTCTTACAGATATCTGAGATCTCCTGACAAATTAGCTTCTCAATTTCCTGCTGACAGTTGGGGAAGCTGTAATACAATCCTAATAAGGTGATCATCCCTTTCTTATTCCTCAGTTCCATACAAATAAATTCACTGGATGTTCTCCCAGAAATATCCTCCCTAAGTACAGACATAGTGTTAACCCTAACCAAAACGCCACTCGCCCTTCTCTCTTGCCCCTGCCTTTCTATCCTTCCTATAGCATCTATACCCTGAACATTGAGCTGCAAGTCATACCCTTCCCTGAGCAATGTTTTTGTACAAGCTATGATATCCCAGTCCCATGTTCCCAACCACGTCAGGAATTCATCTACCTTACCTGTCAGGCCTCTTGCATTGAAATAAATGCAGTTTAATTTCTCAGTTGTATCTCATTCTCTGCCTTGCCTTGACAATTTGATGTTCTCCTCTTTTCAACTGTACCAACCTCAGATTTACCTCTTTTCTCAAAATCTCTTTGCCCCTTCCCCCGCCCCCCCATCAGTTTAAAGCCTCCTGAGTAGCACTAGCAAATCTCCCTGCCAGTATATCAGTCCCCTTCCAGTTGAGGTGCAACCTCTCCTCCTTATACAGGTCACGGCTATCCCAGAAGTCATTCCAATGATTCAAAAATGTAAATCCCTGCGCCAAATCTTCAGCCATACATTCATTAGCTCTATCCTCCTTTTCGTACTATCACTAGCATGTGGCACCAGGAGTAATGCAGATATTACTACCCTCAAAGCCCTACTTTTTAACCTTCTGCTTAATTTCCTTTATTCTCTCCTTAGAACCTCGTCCTTTCTCTTCCTATATCATTGATACCAACGTGTACAATGATCACATGCTGGTCACTCTGCCATTTGAGAATATTCTGTGCCCTCTCTGAGACATCCTTGACCCTGGCACCAGGGAGCCAACACACGCGGAATGACTGCCAATGGTGCACCCCATAAAATCGGAAATCCACAAGAGCTGGAGGAACACAGATCTTAAAGAATTGTACAAGGCTCCAGAAATTGAGAGACAAAGCACAGAGGATTGAAAACAAGAAGCAGAATTTGAAAATCCACATGACAGAAAGGTGGCAATGAAGGCTAGTGAGCATTGAGGAAGGAGTGAGAGGGGCTGTGATGTACATTGTGGAGCTTGGGTTTCTGGTTTTTGAATCAATAACTGATCTGTTCTTTTGTGTGGCTAAAGTTAATTATTAACTTGTAAGTATTTCTATAGCCAGGGTGTGTTCTTTAAAACTGTTTTTGAAGCCTGGCTTTAAAATTAATGGGTATTGAGCACCAGTAATGGACTTTTATTAATTGTAGGTTCTTTTGCTATCCAGTCTGATAAATAA